TGCAGTGTCGTACCTGATCAGAGATGCCTTTCCTTTTCTGTTCTTCGTGGGTGTCGGGGTAAATGACTTGGTCCCTCAGAGAACCCAGAGTCATGTAGGGTCTCTGGACAGAAACAGAGGAGGACTGTGAAGGGATGCATTAATGCTGTGCTTTCCAAGCTGACCTTAAACATGTGTGTGTGGGTAACATCTCAGCAGAGACCTACACTCATGAAATGAGCATCTACTGAAGAATCAGACCTGTGTTTACACACAGGAGGCTTTAACAAACTAACATGCTCCTGGTGAAGAGTGCAGGAAGCCAGGGAGACTCTGGAGCAGTCTATAAATAAACTCTGACAGTGTTGTGTGTTATCCCGTCTCATTTTTAGAGACCATCTTCCTCAAACTGAGTCAGAGTTAGCCAAACACCTCCTGAAGACTCACCTGTGGGACGTAGAAAAGCTTCCCCCTCTCAGGTTTCGTCAGATGCCCACCAAACAGAGGCCACAGCTGAAACACAACCACATAAATCCACATTATCAAAGTAAAACCAGCTTGAGATGAAACTGATTACTGATGGTGCAGCCCTACCTCTCCCAGCACCCTGAACAGGGAGCTCTTCCCACAGCCGTTGGGTCCACACACAAGAACATTAGTGCCAGACTTCACCTTCAGAAAAGAGAGAACAGCGTCTACACAACGTTGAACATCAGACACAGGGACAAAGCTATCTGAGCCCCGGCTGGTCTCACACACATGCAGCCACGAAAGGTTTGAACTGTGTCAGCACACCACTGAGTGAAACAAGTATGTGACCCTACAACATGTCGATGGAGATGAGGTAATGCATGCACACTTTACTTCAAACGTAAGATTTCTGATCAGGACGTCTCCGTTGGGTGTTGCGAGGGGAGTATTCTCAAATCTGCAGAGAGGAAAACACAAATCAGACTCGATGTCGCACCAAAGCACAAAGTGAAACCACACCAGCAGCACAAAGTGAAACCACACCAGCAGCACAAAGTGAAACCACACCAGCAGCACATACTTGATCAGGTTGTCTTTGTTAATAATGTGACCACTGCCCGGGACCAGCACCAGTTTCTCTGCAGCATCTGCTTCTGAACACACAAAAACAAATGATGGCAGCCGTCGCAAACCCACTTCACCGTACATCAGGAGTCACGCGTACCCTTCTCCTGCTGGGACACCATGGTGCGCTCGTATTTGCCAGCATTAAGGTCCTTGAGCACCTTCATCAGTTCGACGATACGAGCCGTGAACCTGTCGGGGCACAATTCAACACAACTCAGTGAACAGCACACAGCTGTGTTTGGAAACACACAACCCAGACGGGCAGAGCTCATCATGCCAATGCTGTCGGACATTATTAACCATTTAAAGCTCCTCTCCTGCAGCACTCACCCTGAGAGCCGGCTCATCTCCCGGCCAGCCAGAACAATCCTGCCCAGGGCCTGGGACATCCTCAGCAGCATCCTGCCGCTCTGGTAGTAGTCCTACGAACACCAATCAGTCAGACCTCAAACCTCAAACATCACTACAGCAGTTTGTCAAAGCTGTGCTGCTGCTGCACGTCCTGACTGCAGCATAAACATACACTTAAATCTACGTGTGAAAACGAATTAAGCTGGACGTCTAACATGAGGACTGAAGGGACGCCACATCGTTGGATAGACATTAAATGATCAGGACAGAGGGCCGAGTTCACAGACACCCTGAACAATCAATCGTGGACCCTTTCACAGATCTGGAATCAGTCGGCACGGAGCTCCCGGACAGTCGGAGGCGGAGCCTGGCAGCAGCAGATTGAAGCACGGAGCTCCCGGACAGTCGGAGGCGGAGCCTGGCAGCAGCAGATGAAGCACGGAGCCGTTTAAAGGCAACACAGATACTCCACTGTGGCCACAGGAGGCTGGAGTCAGCTCTGAGAGTCAACAGCATCGCAGCATAGTGTGCAATATAACTGCATGCTGCATGTCCCCTCTTTGCTGCGATCAGTGTTAGAGTTGGTGCTCTACAGTGTAATGCATCACACAGAAGTGTTTACTTTAAACTTTCCTGTCTGTTAATGACCTGAAACGCATCCTTTCATAGTTACTGTTGAATAGAAACCCACAGGTCTGCAGGGCCACACTACAGATGCACCAGACCACTTTTTGTGTCCGATACCACAAATTTGGATATCTGCCGATAAATTAATCTGGTGTAGTGTCTTTTTAATCAAAACTGTTTTTATAAATATCTTGCTGCATTTTGTTTAAGTTCATACTCAAGTTTTTAAAAACAAGAGACTGAAGCTATTCTGTTACACCTGTATGCAAACAATACACTGCAGCCAAAACATCTCATAGTTCAGCAACACTGATCAATCTAATAAAGCTAAACCTGCTCCATCCTCCCTGTTCTGGTGTTTTAAAGAGTACTTAGCAGAAATATTGTAATTGTAATATGTAATATGTAATAATTGTAATATACTTACATATCTATATTATTGCTAATATATATTGTAATATATCTATATCACTAAAGCACTTCTGGATGGATGCAAACTGCATTTCGTTGCCCTGTACCTGTGCATGTGCAATGACAATAAAGTTGAATTCTATTCTAAACAACCAAACTAACAGGGTTCCAACTCTCAGTGACAGGAGAACGGCGGCTAAGCTGTCGTCCCTGATGGACAACATCTCCCTCCAGGAGTCTGACAGCACTGAGCTGCTGGGCTCAGGTCTGCAGCCGCTCAGTTAGTCAGCTGTCAACCGCAGCCCAACAGCTAGGTTGGTGTTAGCATTAGCATGCTGTCTGTGCAGGTGCTTGTAAAGAGCTGAAGTTGTGTTAGCAGCAGCATGTATATTTGTGCAGTCCTGGATGCAGTTTGCCCTTTACCACCACACTCTTAAGTCCTGTTCACACCCACGCTGCAGCACGATTCTCCTCCTCTGAAATCAGTTGCAGTGGAACCGATGAGCAGGATCGATAGACAAGCACACTAACGACTCCAAGGAATTCATCTACTGGGAAGCCACAGCATCTTCTAGTGGGCGTGTGGAGCCTGACTGGCCTTTGCCACAGAATCCCACACCGGCAGGTCCACCGGCACCGTGGGGTTTTCACAGGTGACAGACATGAAGGATCTGGAGAAGCTGTGGAGGATGCTAGGCTCAGCATGACAGCGCTTGTTGGTGGGAGGAGCCCATCAGCTACGCACAGACCTCGACTGCCATCAGGTATTAGCACGGCGCCCATCGTCCGATTGCTGCTGTCAGAACTTGTGGCGTGCGACTGTGGCAGACCTCACGGATGCAGGTTGTTCCTGGAGGACGAAGGAACCGATACCACTGACTGGTTCCCACGATCACCTGACCCAAACTAACGTAACAGCTGTTCGGTCCGTCTGATGCTGCCAGGCTACACCTCAGACTGCACCTCCTGCTGCCACAGTACTAAAGTCAGGGTCGTTCTAGCGAAGCTGACAGAAGCTACAGTTCATTAACACATTTGTAATCTCGAGTCATCGCGGCTTTATAAAGTGCTCTTTCAGACACGTGTTAAGCTACAGTGCAGCTGCGCTCACCTCCAGCAGCTCCGAGTGGGTGCTGTGTGTGTGCCGTGGATGGGAAAGGTTCAGGAACGGCCGGCTAACCACCAGATATCCCACCACGGTGGCCAGATCTGCAAAGGAACAGCACGTGCACACTCAGGACGACACTTGATGTTGTTGGGGTGAACGTGATGAAGATGGCTTCATTCTGCCAGTTACAGGCTGTTACTGGTGCTCGTGGAGGACTGGACGAGGAGCAAATACTTACACTTAGCAATTATACTGTCCACGACGCCCATGGAGAAGCGGAAGAAGATGAAGTCATGCAGGTGGTCCACCTGGAAGAACAGTCTGGGTTACACTCCCATATTCACTCTAGTTACAGGAACTTTTCTCCTGCTTTACTGGTTTCATCCTTCAAAAGCAAAATGTTCTAAGTTTCTCTACACGAGTACTTCCTGAGGTCACCGGCCCTCAGCCTGGGCTGCACACAGGGCTACTCACCAGTTTCTGGAAAACGCTATGAATGGTCTGCTTTTCCCTCTTGTTCCCGTTGTAGAAGGCGATCTCCTCACTAACGAGAAGATGCATCATTAACAAACACGCCAAGCCTACACAGTCACAGACGAGTCGCTGACGGGTTTACCTGTTGGTGATGAGGCGAGAGTTCACGTAGCGGTACTCGCCCTCGTAACGCTGCTCAGCCACGGTCATCTTGCCTACTGGCCTCCGTAATCTGGTCAGGAACAGGCCTGAGATCAGCAGGTAGACCATCATGGTGGCTGGACCCTGGTGATGATGAAGAAAGAGACAGCAGCTGAGCTTGAGATGTGCCCGCGGCAAACAATGAGGAGACGTAACAGACGTGAGCAGGTGGAGGAAACATCCTGGTCAAAAATGACTTCAGCCCTTTGATTTAGTAGAAATACTTCAGCACTATTGGAGGCACCGGAAGTCTGGGTAGACACGTTTCTCTGGTACAACACAGGAGCTCAACCTCGGGATTGTTTCAGAAGGAGAACTTTAGGTGTTTATGTTGGACCAGACAGCGACTTGTAGCAGAAAGAAAGGAAGCATTTCACGATGAGGAGGAAGGTGATTTCTGCTGACTTTCTGCTACAACCAGCCCAGACAAACAGCTGACAGTGCTGATCACACAGACCTGAGAACCAACAGGAATCATTGTACTCGTCCCATCATAAATAAAAGGACATTTCTTGGAAACTTGCTCACCTGGGCACCGATGGCACTCGTCAGTTTGAAGATGTAGAGGCCGATATCTAACAGAGGCTGCAGGACACAAACAGGAAAGAGTTAGAAACAGGAAACGCCACAGGACGCCTCACGAGGCTGCTGTGGATTTTAACACAGACACCAAACAGAAGGTGAACAGCACGTCCAGCACAGAAAGCCCCGCCCACGTGGTAGAGGGCGGCCCCACCATGAGGACGGGGCAATATGGCCAAAAATATTTATCTCCATATATTTGAAAATGTGCGATAACGCTATAACTGCTGCGAGACAAAATACTTTCACTTAAACAAGCAGCTGTTCTTCATGTGCATTAAAGCTGTGCAACAATGCAACAGTTTAAGCAAAAGGCGTCTCCAGTGGAAACTGGCCGACACGTCCTCAGCATGTATCCACACGAGTTAAAAAGAGCTGCTGTGCAGCATGAAACTGCAGTGTGCCAGATAAATAAGTCAAATATGTCTTTTTCTTTTTATAAGAAAACCAAACTTTACTCGTTCTTCTTGCTTCCTGCACTTCGTACCATCGATTCATTAACCCTTTAAGACCTACCATAGAACCAAGTCCGCCAGAGCTTATATTATATGTTTACATGCTGTGGAGCCATTTTTGGGAGCATTTCA